TAATTGGTCGACCGTACAGCATGATTCTTCTCTGTTGTAAACCTAATAAGAAAAAGTTGATCAACTAAGTGTATTCACATGCGCTCAAAAACCCAAATAATCCAAACATTGTAATGTTCTCAACTTCAAACAACTCAAAAGTCTCAAACAATTTATATCGGAAACAATATATATCACTCTGTTAAGTAAACAATAGTTACAGAAATCTTATACCCACAGTCAAAAGGATCCTATAAATAGGATCGGTGATATACGAGAGAAAGCGGTCAACATGGTTTAGTTAATATTTAGACCAGCGATGGGAAGTAGGATTTTCATTAATTATTCTTAAAATCAATTTATTAATCAATGAAAAAATAGTCATTTTTAAAATATTTTAATTATCTTAACAGATTATTATAATTAGATTCTCTAATAGTGAATTAAAGGGTATATTTGGAGGAAGAATACAAATGAGGTTAAATTAATAAAGATTTTTTCATAAAACCACCTTTAAAATATGGTCATTGTATAGAAACCACCTTTAAAGTATTTTTTTGTTGCAATCAACCATCTGATCCCACTTCTAGGTCGCGTTTTTCGATTTTGCTATTATAATTTAGTTATCAAATACCAAGTATATTAGAGAAATGATCCTTATTTGAGGTTAGGTAGGGTTTATTACTAAAAAAACTTAACTGAAAAGTGATCCTAGGTGGTTGATTATAACAAAAAATATATTAAAGGTGGTATATGTATGAGTTGAAAGAGAAAGGTGGTTTCTTTAGAATGACCTTAGTCTAAAGGTGGCTTCTATGGAAAAAAAAAACCAATTAATAATTATCATGATTGAGGGGTAAATTTTAAAATACCTATAATTTGGCGGTTATATAGAAAAAAAACACAAATTATAAATGGACTGAAATATAAATGGATTGAGTATAAGTTTTGGGTTTGGAAAATGGGCTGGTAAAGGTTGTTAGAGTTTAGAAAAGAAAATAGATTACAAATGGGCCAGGCTTGTGTTTTGAGCTTGGAGGAATATTATAACTTGGCTTGGCTCATCTATATCGTAAGTGCCTATCTAGCTCACAGTCAAATAATTAGAGATAACCATCTCTTCTTATTTTTGCAAAAATCCACGGGGGACATGGCCACCCTTGGCCCCCTTACTTCACCAATGCTTAGATATTTTTAAACTTACTAGTACTAATTTGGGTTTTTCCGATATTAATCCCTCATATCTTAATTAATTCAGTATTAGGCCCTCAAATCTTTGAAATTGTTCATGAGTCCCTCCAATCCTAAGTCGGTCTGCAAATTGGTCCTTTAATGACTAAAATGCGCTCCCCGAAAACCTTTGTGTTCACAAACACGTAGTTGAGAAGAATTTTAGCTGTTGAGGGACTAAATTGCAAGAGTTGTAATACAGTCAATTTTGCCTCTTCAGTATAAACTAATGAATTCCTATTAATTGTTTATTATAGTGGTCTTGTTTGGAATATGACGAGAGAGCAGTCTTTTTGGCTAAATGGCAACGATGCATCTATTTGGGCCCCCTTATCATACCCTTGTCCCGTCGATTTATTCTTCATTCAATATTCCCCTTTTAGACCCCATCATTTTATTTCATATTTTATTAGGTGACTGTACATGATATGTTATGCACTGGATCATAGTAATTTCAAGCATAGAAAGACAAGGCAAAAAACACATATATACTCCACTATCGAGACATCATATGGACTAATTTCCTATGCTTCCATAACTGGAACCACGTAGATAGCAAATCTTAAGTTGAAATCTCATGCTTGTATTCAGACTTGGTGTGCCTCAATACGTGTTTTGATGGCTAGTTGTTGTCCCCTAGCTCCCTACGTCATCGCCAATCCCTAATCACACGAGAAGCAAAATATTTCATCATTTTTATCATTTCTAGAAGACATGTCTGACATTTTGTTGCTTAGATCATGTGGTCGGACCACTCAAGACCAATTGCCTATATACTAGTCGGTCTAACCACCCGCTGCTGTCTATAGATCG